GGGGGGGGAGGGGGGAACTAAATGTTTAATATGTTAAAAAATTGAAATTTATGGTTAATTATTAAAGATTAATTAGTAAAGAGAAGATGAAAAGTTAACATAAAAAGGAATCATAATTTTTTTGGTTTAAAAATTAGAACATTATTTATTTTGGGGCCCCACCAATAATGGGCCTGGACAGGTGCCCTTGTTTTGAAGCCCAAGGTTGGGTTTAACAAGTTCCCCGAGATTTAACAAACCCTTCCCAATATAATTGATATAACAAAATCGACTACCTTTTGAATTTAGAATAACCCTTGAAGGCTTGAACTCATAAAGTGGTCGAAAAATAATGTAGAGATAGAACTCTAAAAATATTATAGTGTGTTATATTTATCTTAATGAAATGAGTTTCTCAAATCACCCAAAATCAAGTCCTAAAATATCAAATCAAAAGATAAAATAAGATTTAATTTAAAAGATCAAATAAAAAAAACTAAATTAAATAAAATATTCTTATAATAAAAAGCTAAATTAATTCAAAAATAATTTTCTAAAAATTAATTAAATAAATACATTAATCATTTTAAAATATCATTCGAAATACACAATACCTCACATGAGCATAGTAATAAATAATGTATTTTATACCGTGATTAATAGAGCATATAATTTAAACCATGCGATCTGACTTATTACACTCAGCTTAAAGTTTTCCCTAAGGTAAATAAAGTGATATTAAAACATTAAATGTCACGAATGTTTATTTCTATGTCTATTAATAACTATTAATAATTGAGATACTTTATTTTGGTATATACAATTTTTTACTCTTTTATTTCGTAATTAATATTTACAACTATCTCACTATTTGTAAAATTAGTGACACTCATTTTATCAATTTCTTTTTATTATTTTTTGCTTTTTAAAAAAACAATGAGGCACAAGATATCTTATTTTGTCTAGTACAAGAAAAATTAGATCATTAATTCACAAGAAAAAACGAGGTCATTAACTATGAAGTTCCAAATCATGGGGCAAACTAATAAAAACAAGGAAATCGGCAGTCATAAATAGAGTCAGAAGTGCTTGATTATTGCATAAAAAAATGAGCTTGATTTTGTTTTAATTTTTAGTTTTTCTTAAATGTGTTTTTATTCTTAATAAACTGGGTTAGTTTTAATTTTAACTTTTATAATTTTTTTTTATTTTCATCTTTCTAAAATTTTTAGATATTATTTTTTATTTTTATAAAATAAGCAAAAACTGATTTTCGTCCCTGTAAATAATTTTATTTTATTTTCATCCTCTAAAATCTAAAATTACTATATTTAGTTCCTAATGACCATTTTAAAGTATATAATTAATATTTATTTTACAGATTTATAAAAAATTATAAGTGTCATATGCCGAGAAAGTATCGCATAAGTTGTAGATAGGTACTACCTAGGATGGTCACTTGACTTTCTAATAAACACATAAGTAATTAAAAAATATCACATATTAATAGGGGCTAAAAACATAGTTTCAAATTTAAGAAGATAAAAATAAAAAAAAATAAATTTAAAGGAACTAAAATCAAAATTTGTTCATTTTGTAAGAATAAGTGGTAACGACTTATGTCTCTTAATAAAGTTGTCCAGAATTTAAATTTAGACCTTAGGTATAAAATAAACTATGTTGGAGAGGAATATTTACTTTGTATGCGCTTATGGTTCTTAACACAGATTAGTTATTACTTTCGACAATAAATACTTCCTATAAATTTCATAGTTATCTATTTTGTAGAGATTAAAAATATATTTAAGTCTTTGAAAATTTTAATTTAATTTTATAAAAATTTTAATTTTTTTTTATTAAATATGCACCATTAGTGTAATTTTTTTATATTATTAACTAATAAAATATTATTATTGGTGTAATTTTAAAGTAATTATTATAAAATTCAATAAACTTATTATATATGATAATTTATGATTGAATGAAAATATACAAAATTAATATATTATTTATTCTAAAAGGTGTATTATGTAAATTAGAAATTTATTTATGTTATTTTTTAAAGAAAAGTAAAGTGAGGTAAAGAAGTAGTAAAAAACAAAGTAGGATGTGGTAGAGTCGAGGAGAAGAGTTAGTTCCAGAAGTTAATAAACATATTATACATAATAATTTGTGATTGTATGACAATATAAAAAATTAAATATTAGTTATTCTAAAATGTATATTATATGAATTTGAAGTGTGTAATGAAATGAAAAAAAAATTGAAAAAAAAAGGGTGTGATGGAGAGGTGAGGGGAAGAGTGAGTCACAAATCATCATTTAGACAATAATGTAGGTAACCACTACCTACAAACCTCTCCATGGATTCATCTTGAATGTAATCACATGTAAGGCATCGATGTTTCTTTGTTAATTACACGGGGAAACATCGGTTAAAGACCCCAATTATTTTTTTTTTAACATGTTTAGGGTTTAAGAAGTCATGGATTACATCATCCATTCTCACACCCAAATGTTACCCATACTATTAAAATGATCATATATAAACCATTGAAAACAAGAAGTCATTTTCCGATGTGGGACTCGCAAAATATCGACATTGATTTTTCTTTCCTTTTCTTGAAATCTCAGGCTTTTTGTTTTGGGTATTGTTAACAACATATAATGCTAGTATAGTAATTCTTTTATATAAAAGCGAATCCATTAATGGTTATTTCATAGAAGTTAATCAATAACTAATTCATTTTAGGATCTAAAAGAACGAGAGTTTTTAATGTATAAATTGGTTAAGAGAAAACAAGAATTGAAGTATCGAATCACTTCTGGAACAAAACAAATCAAAATACTTGTAAGACAAGAAAGGATTAACGTAGTTGTGATTGTGAACGTCATGACTCGATTTTAAGGATTTATAAATTATAGATAGATTGTTTTGGATAAGCGGTATATGCTGGTACAGAGATAAGATAGCATCGATCAGATTAATTAAACGACTTATATAGGAAAATAAATACCAAGAATTTCTATCATTTTCATTATTATTTGGCTCTTCTTAGGCAATTGTTACAAAGAATTGATGAGTAAAGTGTGATTATGATCCTTAAATGTAATCAATGGCTTTTTTCAGCATTCCTGGTGCACGTTTGAAGCCACTGCTCTAGCCCAAAATTTGATTTGCTCTTTCATGTCACCTGCGGACTTATGAGAAGCCCAATTTGGAATAGGAGGAGCACAACTTTGCACCAACCATGCTTCGGATAAGTATGGTCTCCTGTGTGCCTTATCTTCTTCTGTCTCGTCTCTTCTTTTCTCTTGCAAACCAGGTAGTATGCTAGCTAAACTTGGACTTAATGTTTCTTTCTCAAATGAGAAACCCAAGTCCTTGAACCCCTGAACTTCTTCAAATTCAAGATCACTTACGCTCCTCCTCATTGTTTTCTGATTCAGGTACCTGCGCCTCATCTCCATAATACCCTCTTTGTTGAAGCTTTCAACCTCAGTCTTTCTAGTTGATCTACATCTTGGAATGCTACAACTCTGACATGCATAGCCAAAAGATATATGAGTTGATGTGAGGACTGAAGGGCTAACTTCAGAACACTCAAATCATTCTGAATTTGGAAGTATATATATGTTTTTAACCTTACTTTCTAAAGGACTATTGACTTTTCTTAAAAAGTAGCATTGTATTTGTAGCAGCAAGCTATATATATATTCTGCATGTCCTTTTCTAATTATATGATTTTACTTGGGCCAAAAACTTTTGGCTTTTCAGGCCATTATGCTTTAATTGGTTCTATTCTGGGTGCTGGCCACACCAAAAGCAATCATAAACTCTTAGAAGGGACAGGATCTTATGCATTAAAGTTATAAATGAAAAAGGAGTCTCCACTTAATATCATATAAAAGTAGATGGTTGAAGTACCTTGGAGGTTTGCCTTGGTGGCAGAATGTCAACATGTGTAGGTGTTGATGGTTGCTTGTGGTATCTGCCAGTTCTAGAATCATTTACTTGGAACTTTTCCTCTCTCCCTATTGATGGAGGCAAAGATGGTGTTCTTAGTAGTTTGCTTTTCCTTCTATTACAATCACTGTTATGATGCGCTTTCATCTGTGCACAATGAAGTTTACTAGCAGGATCTGTTGGTTGGTGAACCAATTTGCTTCTAGTAGAGTTGCTTCCGTTTTGGTCATCTTCTCCTCTCAATCTTAATGGTGGCATGGATGGTGCTCTCTGGATCTTCTTGGGATGAACAAAATCACCATTGTTTGGTGTTTTACTTCTTGATGAGAAGGAGGACACTTCAGAGTCCTTCACCAAAAAATCTGGAGGGCTGATTAGGCCAGTGGAAGGGCAAGGATCAGAGTGACACCTTGTCATCCTTGGTCTTATCTTTAACAAGTTATCAAAGAACCAGCACTCTTCAAGAAGATCCACAGCTTCAGTTTTTTCATCTTTGCAAAAAGAAGACTCACAAGAGTTTCCAATTGGCTCCATGAGTTTCCACTTTTCCAACTTAGTTCACCCTTCATGTGTTCTCAATTTATATATACGGAGTCTTTTGCATCTCTTGTCATTGAATTCTGATTAAATTAATTGAATGTTGTGCACAGGCCAAAGATTTGACTATTAAAAATGCTGAAGCTGAGCTTTCTAGATAAGCCATGTGAGATATGACACCATGTGCTTTAAGATGTCCTTTTACTATTGTTTAGCCATAACGAGCTAACTGTCCAAAAAACAAGTGTTATTTAATACAAAAAATGGATTTCCCAAAGGCATTTCATGAAGTGAAACGATACTTAGGAGATGCATGAGGGCATAGAAGCCAAGTAGGGTCATGCGGCATTTAAGCCCCACAACAAAAAAATAATAGGTAGGGTCGATTTCTTTGGGATTGGCTTTGTCATGCCAGCACATTCCCATGTGATGCAGTTTTTGTTTATGCAGCCACCTCACATCACAAAACAAGTTAAATTAATAATTGTGTTTGGTAGTTTGTTTGACTATTACAACAAATAATTTGATTATGGTGTGAAAAGGTTAATTATCATGTTATTAAACTCTTAAAATTGAATAATTATAATATTTCTTAGCATGCAGTTGCTGAAGACCTTCATTCCTTGCTCCAGGTGTGTGTCTATGTGTATAGAGTTTATGACTTTTGCTTTGTTCCACTAACACAGTACAATTCACACCACCAACGTTCTTAGCTGTCTAAATATCATGAGCGTTTAAAAATTAAAGTATTAAAGCAAACTAATGAAATTGAAATAAACTATTAATTTAGTTTGGTTAAGGAATGAAACCAATTATTTAATCCAATCTAGGTTGATGGTGTAGTTAAGGAAGATACCAAAAACTCTGAATTATTTTGTTGTCATTGTTGTTAACCTATCGAATAACCACTCTAGAATCTTGACCAATTTTGGTTAAATTTGCAAGTTTCTTCTGATTAGGTAAAATTACTTTGAGATCAATCGGCACGTTTAGCTTGCTTCTATTATTGAGTTTGATTCGCAAATAAAATCATAAGAATAACATTCTGGTGCTTTCATATTTTTCTTTTTTGTAAATTCTAAAAAAACAGCAAAAATAATGTAATCTTTCTATAGTAGTTAGTGAACATATGCTAATTAAAATGAAAATAACGTACTAAAGCAAAAGCAGCCTCTTGGAAAACTAAATCTTCACTCCAATTAGATTTGTTGGTATTGTGATTCAAAAAGTTACAAATAAAAGAATCTTGGAAGAGGATTTCTTGGCTATGTAAGTTATTACCATTCATTTCAGAAGATAAACTTCATTCATTTGCAACAGAGTATTTCATCTAGGTCCCCACAAATCTTTGCACAGCATGATATAACACCCAACTCAGCCACTTGGACATTTCTAAACCACTCTAACCTTTATATCTTACCTTCTAGCAGATTCAATGGACGCACTTTTTTTTCCACAGAAAACCAGAACCACAACAGTAGACACGTTGAACATATAGGTTGATTCATTGGCTTAAATTGAACAGGTTATAAAGCTTTCATTCAACCAGGTCTATAACAACTTGTCAGATGTGTTTAAAAATGTTCATGCCTTAATAAAAAATTGTCAATGTCAACAAAAAAAAAGGAAGAAAGAAAATCAATTGTCAATAGTGAAGAGAATGGCGAGTTCAAGTTCCATATTGCTATGTATCATGACTCCTTTCCTTCTCTCTAACTTGTAACAATTTTATTGCTGGGTTAATTAGCTAAACCATTGTTTACATTTCAGTCAATTAAGTTAGTTAGGATTTATTTAGTTGGATTAGTTAATGTATTGAGAAATACTAATATTACGTTTTTTGATATATGGTTTTAAATGCATTTTCTTTTATTAGTTAAAATTTATTGACATTCATGACATTTTGTGAGATTCACATTTTATTTAATATTTTTTCAAAATTTTGTAATTTTTAATAAATTTTAACTAATAAAAGAGATCAGTAAAAAGAATGTGTTTGAGAGTTTGTTATTAGCACTTTGTAATTTGTATTAGTTTGTTGTATAGCCACTTGGAACGTGGAGAAAGACTTAAAGTCTCCCATTTTGGAGTAAGAGAGATTGGAAGTAAAAGGCAAAGGTAGAGAAAAAAATTAATAGATGTGATGACAATGAAAAAAAAGAGATCAAAGATAATTGAGCGATAATGAAATAGAAGAGAAAGGGAGTGTATGTTCAAGGAGTGTGTATAAGCACCACGTCTAATCTATTAGTACATGCTCCACATTGTGAAAGTTCCTGACTTGGCATTAAAGAAACCCACCCATTTTGATGTCTTAACAACCTACTTGTCATAAGCATGAATTGAACAAGCAGAGGAAACATTGAATGCATTAAAACATGAGTTTGTGGTGGCAGAAGCTGCAAGGAAGTGAGGGATCAAATCAGTTTGATATTACGTGGTTTGTACAGTGAGCCTGTTCTGGCAATAGTTCTTTTGCCTGCAAGGAACATGGTGGAGGAACTGAGCCAGCCATTGCCAGGTTACAGTTGTTGCAGCCGACAATATCTTTTTATTTTTATTTGTGAAGACCAGAAATATATTATCAATATATGGATTTAATTTTTATATATATGTTATTTCGTTAAATAAGTAAATTAGTTTCACAATTTTGATAAGACCTGTAACATCTCTGATCTCTCCACCTCTCCCGTAAACTTTGAATAAGAACAAAAATCTTTACAAACAGTTGATTAAGCTAAACTAATTCACATGATAAGAAAACACATTTGACTACCTTTCCATAATGACAAACTATGTCTATACTGTACATGCGATACAACTATATTAATACATATACCTCTTGAGAATATTATTAGAAAGAGTAATTACTAATATTTTCTTGAAATTATAAAGTGACAAATAATATTCGACCTTGGGAGTATTAAACGTTTGGTTAGATTATACAGAAATAATCAAGTTAGCTGAAATACGAGGATTCAAGGCTGTGAGATTTTGATGGCTTGAAAGTTGAAACTGCATCGTAATTTCTGGTCAAAACTATATTTCAATCTCAGAGAAAGTTATATACAAATGCCGCATGAGCACCAAAAAATTGCAAAGCAATCCAAGCTATTTAACAATAGCCTAATCAAAAGGGCGCTTTGTCATTAATATCAACTCTCTTAGAGAACAAAGACACAAATTTTCAAATTTACAGTGAAGTGAGACATCCTTGTCTGGGTCCATATGAACTAGTACACCATCTCTGAAAACAAATTTAAGATCAAGCTTCGGTGATTCTTCATTCAGTGCCGTATCTTTTGTTGCAGTAGCATGTTGGCTTGCCGAATGGGAATGACATTCAACTGGCACAACATCCTTACCTTGGTTACCAGGATTACATGTCTTCACGTTCAAACAGTCAAGAGATGTCCCATGTTTTTCATGTCTTGAGGTTTTGTTTGAGAAATCAATGAAATCTTCAGCCATAAAACATTTTCTAACTGCTGAAATAAGATCAACAGATAATGATGCAACAACATCGTGGACATCTTCTACTGTCCACTGATCACTGTTCAACCCCAACTCTCCAACAAGTATTTTCATTGTCAAATGATGGAGACTGTGGAGACATGCAGGACAACATTGATACAAGCAAATAACCCCAGATTCAGCAGG